AGTTATGTATTCGTGCTCGAATAGCTTTCAGAGCTGTACGGTGAGAGTAAAATGCACTGCAAGGAAATGTAATACTGAGTTGAAAAAAAAGTATCTAGAAAGGTATGTAAGTATGTTGAGAAACAAAGATGCTGTTTCATATATATTATTATTATTATTATTATTATTAACATATCTTTATTCTCTATTATATATCAATTTTTTACTCCTCTACCTACTTCTACTTTCATATATGAGGATATATTATAATTTCTAAGTTCATATCTATATATCTATACTAATGTCATAAAGAGGAAAGATTTTTTTTTGTATTTATTGAAATAACTCAAAAACTTCAAGGCCAATTTTAAAAAATCTTTCACCGTTAGGAAGGTAATTTATCTGTGAGTAACATAGGCTACATTTTTTTATGTCACGCGGACAAAGTCACGAGCAACAGCTAGTAGTTCATATACAAATATTTTATTGTATTTTTAATTCAATAACAATTGATTCAATCAGTTAATAATTCTGAGATTAAAAAGGCATACAGACGAATTGAGTACCTTTTAGGAAGTCTGTCAGAAATATAACAAATTTAATTATATACATATTACTTGGCGTGGTTAGAGTTTATACATAAGTAGGTGCACTAAGATTAATTGATAAGTATTAAACAGCTGTAAATAGGCACACCTGAACTTAGATATCACGATTCTGACACACCCAATATAAGTAAAACAATGTAAGGTAACTAACAGCATAGTTTAGTTACGCCTTTCATGCACAATGCCAATCCTATTTTTAAGCACGAATAGCCTAATGGTTTTGGACTACCGATCTTGCGGTCGAGGATTCGAATCCCGGCATTCGACTATTGTCGTGAACCATATCCTAGCACAAGCCTAGAGCTTAGTTGGAATGGTTAAAGGAAATATTAGTAAATTAACAAAACTCTACTAGTATTTTTATCAACAAAAAAAGAATACGTCACTAGTTTTCGATTGTTTTGCAACAGATCCAAGCGAAGATATCGGCTAACACACTTAAGTGCGATTATAACGATTGCAGACTGCACAAATAGCAATTGCAGTGTGGCATCAAAGCATGCGGAGCAT